CTCCCTTCCACTCTGTCTGAAAATCAATGGAAAAATATCCTCAGGTGAGGATTTAAAAAAAAAGAAGAAGACAACAGACTTTCGAAAGCAGAAGCAAATTCCAGCTGTCTTCTATAGTGAGCCAGAAATTAAATTGATTAGTAAAAATATAAAACAATGCCACTAGTTTCACTAAAGTTTTTGTTTTAGAATATTTATTCTAAGTTTCACAATGAGTTAAAATGTAAACAGTTGATTGATATTTTAAAATAAATTAGTATTTTTAAATGATTTCATTTCTAATGTAAATGTCAATAGACATAACCCACATAAATAAAATTTCTTTAGAGTCCTCAATAGTTTTTGTGAGTCACGAAGTCCTGAGACCAAATAGGCTAAAGCAAGACTATTTCTCAGGGGCAGATTCCCAGACCTCTAACTATCTGGGTTTTTCTTTTCTTCTCTCTCTCTCTCTCTCTCTCATATGTAAATGTACCTCTGAAACCATCTCCATCTTGATGCCTGGGAATTCATGTATGAATTCCTGTTAGCATTAGTGAAATGTGAGACTATAGCTTCAGAATGAATATGTAGCTATAGAGAGAATTAATACCATTTTAACTTACATGCTAGATGGTCAAAAAGAAATATACCTACCTACAGCATATCTATTTATGAGCTAGAATCCTTAAACACACAACCCTATCATCTTTCTGTTTAGTGACTTCAAGAAATTAAAGGGCCATCTGGTACACCTTTATTTTTAACATCTCCCTACAGGTATTAGTCATCTAGAATAAAATACTTTAATTCTTCTATTTAAGAGATGAAGTCTGTAAATATGGAAACAGAAAGCAACAATTTAATTATACTGTGATATATTTTTAACCAAACTTTTACTATTTACATAAAAGTAAAGCAAATTATTTATTCTCGTAAAATGAAAAAACAAATCTTTTGTATAATCATTAATTTGACTTTAGCAATAACCCATACAAATGTACCCATGTACTGATATCAAAAACAAAAACTGCTTTCTAGACAAATGCCACTAAGTTTTGAGGCCTCCACAAAGCAAAACTGACCTTTATTAGAAAATTTACTTAATTTCTTAACTTCCCACCTCCTTAATCACAGAATTATTAAAAGAAGAAACAGGATAGATATAACAGGTTTAAAAGATCCAACATGAAATCAGTAACTACATTCTGAGGTCTCTAAGCGAACTTCAAGATTGACAAAGGAAAAGTTTTGGGATGCTGGGACTCCCAAGGAAAAAACAATCTATACTATATTATACAAATTCCTAAATTTACTAAATAAATTCCTAAATCTTATAATATTTAAAAGTGAATTTTATTTGTAATTAAGTAAAATTGCATTAATATGATAACGAGAATAGGGTGAGAAAAGGAGGAAGCCAAAATATGGAGCATTAAAAATAATCAGCTTATAATCTTTCAGTTTCAAATATATCAAAACTTCAAAATAATTAATTTTTAGTTACTTATGGCACATCTTTAAAAATAGCCCATTTTAAAAGTTAAGTCTGCTTAAAAGTTCAACACATATAAATGACCTTTATATGTGTAAATATTCAAGTGTGTATCTCTTTTAAGTTTAAAATTTCCTATTATATATTACATTGAATTGTCTCAATTTTTCAAGAAACACGGTTTGTTCTATTCCGGATACATACATTCAAGTTCCATTTATAACAACAATCCTTACTAACAGTTATCAGAAGTCAGGATACTCTAGTACACTCTAGTACACTGGGAACCCAGACTGGTGCAGCCACTATGCAAAATGCTATGGTGTTTCTTCAAAAAATTTAAAATGGAACTGCCATTTGACCCAGTGAGTCCACTTCTAGGAATATATCCTTAGAAGCCTGAAACACCAATCAGGAAAAATATATGCACTCTCATGTTCATGGCAGCACTATTTACAATAGCTAAGATCTGGAAACAGCCCAAGTGTCCATCAGTAGTGGATGAGTGGATAAAAAAGCTGTGGTACATTTATTTACACAATGAAATACTACGCAACTCTAAGAAAGAAGGATCTCGCCGTGGCCAGTTTGGCTCAGCAGTTAGAGCACTGGCCCGAGGACCAATGAGTCTCGGGATGGATTCCAGTCAAGGGAACGTACCTTGGGTTGCAGCTCAGTCCCAGGCCCTGGTCAGGGTCCTGTAGGAGGCAACCAATGTGTCTCTCTCACATCGATGTCTGCCTGTTTGTGTGTGTGTGTCTCACTCCTCCCAACTCTATCTGAAGATAAATGGAAAAATATCCTCGGTGAGGATTTAAAAAAAAAGGAAAGATCTCTTACCCTTTGAGAGGGCACGGAGGAACCTAGAGAGTATTATGCTAAACAAAATAAGCCAATCAGAGAAAGACAAATATCACCCGATCTCACTTATTTGTGGAATGCAATGAACAAAATAGATCCAGAGAGTGGAAGTAGGAAACAGACTGACAAACCTTGGGGTGGGGTGGCAGAAAGAGATAAACCAAAGAACTTATATGCATAACCAATGGACAAAGACATGTGGTGAAGGTGGGGAGTGGGAGCAGGGAGGAGGATGTCAATGGGGGAAAAGAGGAGAGACATCTGTAACACTTTCAATAATTAAAAGAAAAAGAAAAGTTCTCTCAATTAACATCAGTGTATACAACATACCAAATGTATACCTGCAAGAGATGCTAAGACCTGTTAAAATAAAAACTAAGATCCCACTCAATAGAAAATATCTCCATCTTGATACCTTGGGCTCAATATATGCAATTCTGGTTAGCAATAGTGAAAGCTGAGACTACAGCTTCAAGATAAATACATAACCCTGGAGGGCATAACAGTTTTAACTTGCATGTCAGTTGGTCAAAAAGAAATATACCACTGTGGCCATACAGGTACTTGGGGTGAAGTACAACTTTTGCAAAAGTATTTCCTGTTATTTCATTTATTAACAGAGACTCACTCATTTAAGGCACATAAAAATCTGTTACAATCTAAACTGCTGGGGAAATTCTGGTTATTTGGAAGTTCAAACTAAATTATTCCAACCCCTCAGAAATTTCAAACATCAGGAAAAGTGGGGAATAGAAATTTTTAAAACTCAAGTTGAAGTTATTTCAGAAACTCACAATCTAGATTTTGCAGCCCCCAAATTACTAATACCGGTAACAGGTGTTACACATGAACAATTCAACACTATATCCTCAGTATCTAGTACAGCACCTAGCTTACAAAAATGGTTCAATAAACATTTGAGAAATGAATGAACACATTAAAAAAAAAAAAAAAAGGTATAGCCTTTAAAAAAGGAGTCTTTCCCAAGACCATCATTTGTCATTCATTACACTGTCCTGTCATTCATAACACTATCATTAAGCATCTTTATGTAACTAGACAAAAGTAAAAACTGAAAGCACCAACTGCTCTATTTACAAAATAGATTTTAAAACATTCATTTACAAATTTTCAAATGCAAAAATAAAAAAGCACCAAATGTACTGAATTTGAGTTAGTCAATAAATAAATGTGTACCTTCTAATAATGAGAACTCAATGTTGGGGGTAAGATGGAAAGAGGAAAATGTCTGTCAATGTATTCAGCATGTTTAATGAATGCCATAAATCAAACCTTTCCATGAATTTTCTAGAGCAAATTCATGCCAATCTTTGAGCCTATTGTCACTTTCACACATGCTCACAGGAACAAAATGACAAAGAATGCTATGCCGGAACCAGTGGATTCAGGGCACAAAACACTTGATTAACAATTGTCAAGGCTCTTAGTAAAAACTGACAAATATTTTCTAAATAAATTAATCCCACTGATTCCTACATAAATCAAAGCTCCTGGTTTCTTTAAATGATTCACTAGACAAATGGACTGCTAGACGATTTTTATGTATGTATGTATTTATTTATTTATTTTTGAAAAGGTGGCTACAATCTTGTGTGACACAACTGGAAATGAACAACCCATTTCCCACATGCTGATGAATATCTCTCAACGTCTCCCAGACAAAAGAGTGTTAAACGCGATTCCATGCACATTTATTCTTCCCCCATAAATGCGTGTTCTCCCAATTTTCATTTTATGTGCTATACTTAAAGTTAAATACAGCAAGTTGAAATTTTAGTCAAAAGCACTCCGGTGTCTTACTAGCTGTGTAACTGCTACATCTGGTGGCAGCACACTTGCATGCAAGAAGCCAAAAACTTAGAAAACAATTGTAACCGATCTGGTGCGTGTTGCAGTAACCTTTACGCAGATATTTCCCACAAAACCCACGACCCTGTCAGAGAATAACAGTAGACTACTTGCAGTAATGAGATAACGTACAGACAGACACACAGGAGGTGATGGCGAAGGAAAGTTGGAACCATCTGAAGGGGTGGTTTTAAAAGCCTGCCCACCCGACCATCTCTCCTTTAAATTGCTCTAGGGAGCCAGGCAAGGGATCAAAAGTCGGCTTTGGTCATTTCAGCGACTCTCCTCAAAGGGCAGAGACCCTGCAAACGAGGGACATCCTCCAGGTCCTGGGCAGCAAAGCTCGCGGAGCGAGGACCGCCTCTATGGGAGGAGTGCGCGAGGGAAGGGGAGGGGGCTCGAGGATGAATGCTTCAACGGGAGGGAAAACCCACCAGAGACCGGAGGCCAGGAGGTTAAGAGTACTGAGTGTACTAGCAAATGGAGCAGAAAGGGGCTCGCGTCCGGGGGGAGGCTTCCGACCCTAGGAGGACTGGCTCCTAAGAGCCCCAGACGAGTCTGCGCGCCTCGCCTCGCCCCGTCCCCTCCAGCCAGCGCGCAGCCCCTCGTCCGTCTCCGTCGCCACCCGCGAACCACCACCCACAGCCAGCGTACTACCTCCCCGGAGCCGGGCGGCCTCGCGTCCACCTCGCCACCATCCCCCACCCCGGGGTCGAGGGGAGGAGACCGGGGGGTCGCGGGGGCCCGGGCAGGGGAAGGGAGGCCCTCGAACGGGCGCGGGCGCGACGGCACTTACCTTCCCTGGGCCTCCCGGATGGCGGCGTGTGATTCAGCAGGGACCTGGCCGCCGCTGCCGAGCCCGGGGTTGGAGACGTGGAGAGCTGGGACCAAGATGGCGGCCCCTCCAAACTTCCACTGCTACTTTGGACACTCATCAAGCTACTTTCTGGGAACCCGACTCCCCCCCTGCGACGGCAGCAGCGGCAACGGCACCGGCACCCGCCTCCGTCATGGCGGGGGCCGCGCTGAGGGCGAGCTAGAGAGCGAGGGCAGGGAGGGGAGAGCCAAGGGGATGGGGGAAGGAAGCCGAGAAGGGGGGAGGTGGAGAGGGAAGAGGTGAGGGGAGGAGAGGGGACGGGGAGGAGGAAAGGGGGGAGAAGCGAGGGAGCAGGCGGGTGCGCCGGGGAAGAGGCGGAGGGAAAGAGCGCGGCGGCGGAGGCGTCGAGGGGGCGTCCGCCGATGCCGGCGTCCGAGCGCGGGCGGAGCGCGGGCTGCGCCGGACGAGGAGACTTCCGCGGGTGGAACCTGCCGGCACCTCTGCAGTGCGTCGGCCCCCGGCGTCGCCCGGGTGGCGGCGGCGGCGGCGGCGGCGGGCTGTGGGTGGCGGCTGAGGCGGCAGGGTAACCTCTGCATCAGTTACAATCGGCGGCGGCGGCGGCGGCGTCACGCGCCGCCTGTGCAAACACTATCGCGAGGCTCCTGTGCCTCCGGTAGCGGCGGCGGCGGCCGCGGGAGCAAGCATGGGGGAGGGACCTGCCAGGGGTTAGGGGCGGGGGTGGGGTGGGAAGGGAGTGAGCGTGCGAGGGAGGAGATGCGGGCGCACCCGCGGATCGCGGCGCGGGAGCCCCGGGCCGGCAGACTCCCGTGCGCTGGGGCCACCTCCCCGCGCCGGCCGGAGGGAGGCGCGCCCCGCACGCGCCCCCGCCGCGCCGCGCCGCTCTGGCTCTAGCTCGGGCTCCGCTGCCACCTGACTACCCCTCTGCCGCGGAAGCGCGCCTGGATCCCGACCCACACCCACACCCTGCCTGGGGAGAATTGCTTCTGTTCTCGCTGAGCTGTCGTTTGTCAGGAGTTCGATGTGATCTTTTCTCAAAATGGAACTGAAAAGTTGCGAGTTGCTTCTTTCTTGCCCATCTGTACTCTGCAAAAACAAAAAAAGAAGCAAACAAACAAAAAGCACAAACAAAACTGTGTGTCTCCCCGTCTGCAGAAGGGGAGTGATTAACGAATAAAAGCTAGGAAAATAAGTTGTGGGTGGAGTGTGGAAATAAAAGTTTATGAATGTTTTCTAAAAGAGAATCTTTACCGGAGTTGTGCACTGTATGTGTGGTATAGCACTTTTTTATTTTAAAACAATAAGTGGAAAATCTACATAGACAATTTTGATTACTGAATTCGCTTATTTAGGGAAACTATCCAATGTTCTTGTAGAAGAGGGTATGTTTCTAGAAAGTTCCCATTTGTTTCCAGTATCGCTGCTGAGTCCTGACTACAAAACTCCACAGCAAAATGACAGCATTTGCTTAAATTTATAGATACAGCATAGCTTTCTACACACCGCATATGTACAAAACAAACCAGGGACTGGGCATCTTGTACATAAAGGAGCAGTCTAATAGTTCAGGAAAAATACAAGGTTATTGCTCTTTTTAAAGAACCAAATTGAATAGAACACAAAAAATTATGATGCAGAGCAACTGTACAGGCATAAGGAAATGGCATGATTACCAGGGGGACAAAAGTGTCATTTCTTTCTTATTTTTATGACTTTGCATTTCTCACAGTAATGTTCTGTTCAGATAAACTATCATACCAGAATAGAACCTTGGTTGTCAGTTATCTGTAGAAGTAACTTTAGTTTTATTATGCTTCAGATTCCTCAGTGAGTTTCTAGTCTTGTTCTCTTTTTCAAACCTAATAGGTAGATCTTACAAATTAAACAACTTTAGGGAGGTATAACTGACATAGAATAAACTGTATATATGTAAAATGTACACTTTGATAACTTTTGACGTGTACATACTCCTGTGTAGCCATCAGCTTCCAGTTTCCTATACCCTTTTGAAGTTCCTCTTCCACCCCACCCCCATCCCCAAGTAACCACAGATCTGCTTTGTCACTTGGATTAGTTTGCATTTTCCAGAATTTTATGTAAATGTAATCATACAGTTTGTAATCTTTTGTCTGACTTCTTTTACTTAACAATTATTTTGAGCTTTATTTACATTGCTGTATTTATCAATAGTTCATTTCTTTTTATTGTTGAGTATTCCATTGTATGAATATACCACACTGCTTATCTGTCCATTCACCTGTTGGTGGACATTTGTGTTGTTTCCACGTGTTTGAATACATACCTAGGACCTTACCATTAGATTTTTTTTTTAAAGCAAAGTACATGCACTAGAAGGAGAAACAGTTTCTATAACAACACATAGGTAAATATGCTCTTTCTGTATTTTAAGTTAGCTTAGTCAGCTGATTGTGGTGAAAAGAGCAGAGGACAGGAAGGAAGTCAAGAGATCTGGGTATTAGCCCCCATAGGTAACAATTCTTGATTCAATTTCCTCTTCTGTAAAAAAAGTGTAAGAGTCACTAGTTGGTCTCTAAGGCTCTTAACAATTTCAAGACTTAATACAGAGTTCAGATACTCTCACCAAAGAGGTGAGATGTTATCGTCCTCCCAAATCTCTCCAGACCTTCTGGTTACCTTTATACCAGTCTGGGTTACATTGTATGCAGACTAACTCCTTTTATTTTAAATGGTAACTAGAGGATCATAGCATACACTTAATCTAATTACTCTGCATATTTTTTGTTTGTTTGTTTGTGAATGCTGCTGAAGAAGGATAATTAAGTGATTGATTATTGCTTTCTTGTAGCTTAAGATAAAGATAGTCAACACTACCCTGCCCAATTTGGCTCACCAGTTAGAGTGTCGGGACCAAGGAGTTACAGGTTCGATTCTGCTCAAGGGCACATACCTCAATTGCAGTTCAGTCCCTGGCCCTGGTCAGGGCCGTGCAGGAGGCAACCAGTGGATGTGTCTCTCTCACATCAATGTTTCTCTCGTCTCTCTCCCTCCCTCCATCCCTTCTTCCCACTCTATTTGATGATAAATGGAAAAAAAATATCCTCCGGTGAGGATTTAAAAAAAAAAAAAGAGTCAACACAAACTTATAAAGAGGCTACTGCCAGCAAAGAGGGAACTAATTAAATAAACTGTGTGTGGCTTAGCCTGAAAATGAAATGTCATGCCACCATTTAAAATGATGTCTTCAAAGAACACTGAAAAAGATAAAATTTTCACACTACAGTAAATGAAAAAGTGGGTATGATGCCAATTTGTAAGTATACATAACAAATTATTGCATGGATACACCTCAAAAAGTTAATAATGGCTAGGCTAGCTGGGGGTTGTGAGATTACATCATTATTCTTTCCTCCTTTATGCTTCTTTAAATTTTGTAGGAGTCTTGGTTTTTTTTAGATTTTTTTAATTGAATTTTTTAGAGAGAAAGGAAGGGAGACAGATAGAGAAATATGGGTGTGAGAGAGAAACTTTGATGGGCTGCCTCCTGCACGCTCTCTACCAGGAATCTGCAACCCAGGCATGTACCCTGTTGAGAACCTAACCAACAACCTCCTGGTGCGTGGGACAATGTCCAACCAACTAAGCCACACCAGCCATGGCAAGTCATGTATTTCTTAAGTAATTTAAGTTTAAAAATGGCCTGAATACAAATAGTAAAAATACATAATTTTATAAAATGATTATGATTAAGGAAAACTCTTAAGTGGTAAGTAGAGGCTCCCCTACTCCCTGCATTCGGGTTAGTATGTAGGCATTCAAAAAATGTTTGTTAGCAAAAAGTGATAGCTTTCACAATAGGAAAAGATACTGAAAAGTCAGGCGATGCCTGATTCAGATAGAAAAGAACACCTGCCACTCTGATAAAGCAAAAATCAAGAAAAGGAAGAAAAGATGATTGGAAAGGGGCTGTGGCAAGCTCTCTTGTGGAAATATTCCCAGAAAGAAAGTCAGCATGAAAACACAGGAATGAACTAAGTGAAAGGAGAGTGCAGTAAACCTGCCCAGAAGGAATTGGGAAGAGACAGGAAAATGTTTTCTGTGAATTGAATGTTCCCTGATGACAGGGACTCAAGCCCCTAGTACAGTGTGTGGCAGAGACCAAGGGCTCTGTCAATGTTTGTAAAATGAATGAATGATGAGGATTAATGAGCTAGGATACAGGTGAGGGAGCAGTGCTGAAGAAGTAGAAGGTCATATATAAAAGGGGAGCTATGCACCCTGATATGTAGACAAATCATCATAATTTACAACTGTGTTTATTAGACTCTTCTATTTATATGCCATAATAAAAATATTTACAAAGCATCCAATATTATAAACATAAATGCATTTTATACCTCTTAACATTTAATTCCTTCTACATTTGAGGACATAATGCCTAAGATCCTTCCCCTCAAACGAACCAGAAATGAGCCCAGAGATGGGATGAAGTGTCCTTTCTAAGTACTTCCCCCATAGAGTGGAATGCTGGAGCCAGTTCATACTGCCCAGAGAGAAGATTGTGTACATCTCTCCCAACTCAGTTCAATGATGTCAATGAAATTGGCCATAGTATGTGTCTTTATGATTCCAAAATCAGCAAATCTACAAATCCAGTCTTCCTCACCAGCACACCACTGTTCCCATAAATCATTGCCTTATTGTCCTCCATTTCTCCACCTTGGCTAAAACCTACGGAAAGCAAGGATGTTGTCTGTCATCTTTACAGTTTTATTCCCAACATCTAGCACCTACCTAGATACAGTCAGTGCCGAATACATGTTTGTTGAGCCAATCAATTAACCATGTAGCTGGTTATCAAGCACTTGAACCCCCTGAGCTAACCTGCTGATAAACAACTGGGTGGGCCACTCTAGCAGGGGAAGAAAGGGGAAAAAATCCGCTACCACCCTCTCAGCCTTCATTGCCCAATGTTTGTGATTTGGTAAAATGTATTGACCTTGTTAGAGTTGCCAGATGAAAAATAAATTCTGCATGGATCATACTCATACTAAAGAAGAGTATCCGTTGTTTATGTGAAATTCAGATTTAACCAACCAGCCTATATTTGCTAAATCTGGCAATCAC